TTTGACCTGAAGTAGTGGGTTACAAAAAACTTTTCCAAAATACCTACAGCACAACAGCCCCTGTTGTAGCCTGGCCTTCGCCATCCGTACACTCCGGTCCGTCATCATTTCCAAGCCCTGTATCGTCTGGGTCTGGTCTCTGTGTTTGCAATTACATCAGTTGTTGAATTAAATACGACCAATCAGAGAGCACGGGAGGCGGGTGTTGTAGTTAGATGTGGGTGATATCAAGAGTTTGCGTCGAACGGGCAGGTTGTAGTTTGGTAATGGCGAAGTAGTCCGGTCTGGTTCTATCAAGAAATTGAAGCCGGAGCAAGAGGTATGTTTAGCAAATGTAATTGCTAAACACAGATTGTGACGCTGCTCCCCCCACGTGCTCCGTTAGCGGCAAAGGAGATGGCTAGGCTAAATGCTAAATGCTAACAAGTCACTCGGGCGCATTACATACGTCACGGTAAACTCAGATCCAATCGTTTCAATCTGCAAAAGGAGTTAACCCAGCTCCCGCCTGTTAACGGAGCTCAATAGAGCACGTCCAGATCTTAGTACGAAATATAATTTGTACTATGGTGTGGTACGACCAGGCTACCTCTGTTGTATTGTGTAAGAAAACTTGTTCTAAATGTTTCTTTCAATAATATTTAGAGATTTAGTAATAAGATAAAGCCATAAAACGTTGTCTTTTTTCATTTGGTAACAATGGGCCTCATTCACCAATATCTTCTTAAGAATCTTCTTAAATTTCTTCTCAAGTCGTTCTTAAGTAGATTTCTAAGAAGACCCTACGTGGGATTTATCAACGTACTGAATTGTTCGCAGCTGTACTCTTAGATTGATGAATGCCAACTCCTCATAAATTGAGTGCGCGTGCCAGATGCTTCATTAGAATAGGTACTTAGCATAGGTAACCACTCATTAATGCCCATAAAAGGGACTGCAGGGCCGTGTGCAGACGTCAGAGGAAGAAGAGTCACCCGTTTTTCTTCTTTTGCCAGGCTGAGATTAAAGTCATAAAATGTTGACTTTAAAGTCGAAATATTTTGAGAATATAGTTGAACTCGCAAAAGTATGAGATTAATCTAAACAAATTATGAGATTAATTAATTTAAAAATAGTATGTATTAATTTAAATATTAATCTCAAAATATTATGAGATTAATCTAAAACACCACCATCAACATCTTGAACACCAGTAAGACCAAGGAGATGATCATCGACTTCAGGAGAAAACCACTTTCCCACACGCTGCTGAACATCCAGGGGGAGGACATTGAGCTGGTGGACAGCTTCAAGTACCTGGGTGTTCACATTAACAATAAACTGGACTGGTCCCATAATACAAACGCCCTGCAAAAGAAGGGCCAAAGTCGCCTCTTCCTTCTGAGGAGGCTGAGGTCCTTCGGAGTGAGCAGGCCTGTACAATAGACTGTACAATAAGTCACTTTAAATTATCACTGTGTGAAAACCTGCACTACTATTGACACTGTTTCCAATTGACACTTGTCACTTTTGTTGTACATAATTATTGTCACTTTATTGTACATATATCCTGCATGTAACATCTTTGCACATTTCCTCCCTTCATTCCCTGAAGAAGTCCCCAGGTTGAGGACGAAACGTCGGGAAAACTTGCTAAGAAGTACAGATGATGGGTGAGAAACCTTCCTTTGCTTTGACTAATCCCTGTACGACTGAGGGCTTACACAAACTTTCCTCCCTTTGCACAATCTTAGTGTCTCTATCCATGCCAAACGTGACATGTAAATTTCTCCTATGTGAGAGAAATAAAGCAAATCTTATCTTATCTTAAAAATATTTCGGACCCTGGGAGGAGATCCAGCGCGGACCAGCGCTGAGACCAAGGCAGACCCGAGGAGAGACCAGTGTGCAGAGACCAGCGCGGAGAAACCGTATAGGAGAGACCAGCGCGAACACCAGGAGAGACCAGCGCAGACCCGTAATATATAATTACCATAAACAATGAAATAAATAAATACATACACCTATATGACAAACATATCACTGTAATGTTGTGTTCTATTGAACTTCACAAAAGAAGACAACACCAGCGTGCAAACATGTCGACACCGAATGTGCTTAAGAGTGCTCCTGAGCACTTGTAGGATTTGTACTTACCCAAGAGAAATTCTGGTTACGATAAAATTTCATGAATGCCACAATCTTCGTAAAATCCTCGCAAGTAGGATTTACGTATACATTTGTTCTTAACTCATTCACTGCCAGCCATTTAAAAAGCAGCATCCCTCATACTGCCAGAGATTTTGGACATTTTTAGTGTTTTTCCGAACCGCATAGAAATGTGAGCCCTTGGTTGAAACAAGTATGAAACATATCAAATGAAAGCTCTATCCCTTGGCTTTCATTTTTAAAAAAAAGTAAGTTTCTAACCCTTTTAGTTTTTTAGCAATTGAGAGTGCAACATAGGTAACTTTCACACAAAATGCTGTTTCCTGACCAAGATTTGGAGAAAACAGCCTTTTTGTGAAACGCGCATTTTCAAGCAGAAAACTGGGTTTTTTTGGTCTTTACTGATATGTTCAATGTATCACAGTTTCTTACTATGACACAAAACAGAAACAATACATTGAATTGTATTTTTAATGTATAATTACTTTTAAACAAATTAAACGTGTACACACAATACACTCAAAGGATTGTCTTATGTACACATACAATATTCAACTTGTATACAATAAAAACACTTTGTACACAAATATACAGTAAAAATAACACTTTTTGAACACTTTGTGAAACAATTTTACTTTAGTTTATAAAGAATAGTAATTAGGTGACCCCACACTCTGCTGAAGTGTGGGGTGGAAGCTATTTCATCTGCACTCCCAATACATTTCTAGATTAGTTTTTTTTTACAAACCCAGTGAGAAATGTCAAACCAAAAAAGGTTTTTAGCTGTTAGACTGTCACTGTCCATGCATTTTCTCTGCTGAATGGGAGACGCTGTGTGTGTGCACTGAAATATTGTGCTGTATACAGCTTTGTCTGTTCGACAACAAGATCCAGGATCCAGCAGTTCATTAGTTATGAAGAGCTGCAGAAGTCAGCTGCTGATCCAAATCAAGCTCTGCTGCAGCATTTTGGGGTCCTGGGGTCAACAATCTACAACACAAAGGAAAATATAAAATCACCATACATTTTCACATTATAACAAGTGTTTTGGCTTCAGCAGCTATGACATTGAGATAAAAAAAAACTCTTCAATACTCGCTGTTTATTTTTACTATAGTATAAGCCAGTGATTGCTATCACTCCCTCAAGAATCTCTCAATGTTTGAACGCAAAACCACGCAGACTCTGGGATCAGAGCAACAGAGTCAGTCTCTCCCTTTTCCAAAGCAGCAGCGGGCGCGCTCCTGACGCACCCTCCACAGTGAGACGCACCGCAGCAGAATGCACATGGTTAGTTAGTTAGTTAGTTATTTATTCATTTCGAGCAGATCACATAAAAAAATAAAAATAACAAATGTAGAACAGCTGTACTTGAGTACAGGAAATAGAAAGGATTTGGCTCGAAAAGGAGTGGGAAGAAGAAAACTTATTGAATCCCACCCCTATTGTCCATAGCTACGTTACATTATTTAACTTAACTTCCACTTCAAAGTCCATAAAAGGAAAGGAGAAAAAAGAGAAAAAAATAAAAAATAAAAATAAAAAATTCTCAATGCAACAAAAATCAAATTTTCATAACTTAAACACTTTTGTAAAATACTACTACACTCCAGAACACAAAACTAAGTGCAATATCATTTTCGTTTACGGTCAAACATAGCTTATAGAATAGACAGGATGCAAATGATACAACAGTTTAGACATTTTCAGCAAATGTACATACCAGCGATGGTAAGGACAGAGACACAAACAATAGTGACACAAATGTACATACCAGCGATGGTAAGGACAGAGGCACAAACAATAGTGACATGGTGCGGTAAATCTAACACTTGTTGCTCATCATGCGACCTGCTCACTGGTCTGCCATGGATCACCTCCCCCTGTCCCTTCTATAAACCACACGGTAACATCATCCATAGCTCCCTGGCAGCTAATGCTGCATGCCAGACTCACACGCCTCCAAACTCAAGAGGGAAACTTTTGGAAAAATGTCCCGCGTAATCAAGCATTTTACCCCGCAATAATCATTCATCAATCAACAATTGCGCGCAAAATCCTGGAGGGGCTGATAGTACATTAGACAAAGAGGAGAAATAAACTCGTAAATGCAACATGTTGAAGTGAAAAGCCACTTACCACATTACGACGGGGGGAGGAGCCGCTGCTGCCGCTGCCGCTGCTGCTGCTGCTGCTGGACGAGGAGGGAGTGGGAAGGCTCCGAGGATCCTGGAGTCTCATGTTAACTAAAACCTGAAGAACTAGCATCGTGGCATCTAGCTGCTTCATATTTATCCGTTTGATGACTGAACAGGCTCTCAAACAGCGTTAGCTGCGTGAGCTTCTCAGATCCGCGATCCTCTGTGTAAGCATGGCTGCTCCTCTGGCTGTTTGCTGCTCACAGCACCACATGCCCCCTTCTCCCTCCCTGGATCTGGCCACAGTGTCACCTCTGCCCCCTACAGGATCGGTTCCAAAGTGTTTACAGGTCTGAAATGTTGTCACAGGATGCACAAGAGCCTTGACGAGCCATAGAAAGAAAAAAACAAAAAAAAAGCGTTCGGATTTAGATTGACGTATATAGACGTCAATGGCAGTGCATGAGATCAGAACCGTTCGTGAATGAGGCCCATTGCTCTTGGGAATTGCTTCAGGTACACTACTCAAAACCATTTGCATTAAACCAAAATGAAATATTGTTACAAAAGCACAGTGAAAAACTTCTGAATAGTTCTTCAACATGTAAAAAACAGAAATTCCAACAACTATGAACTCCAGTCATGGTGTAAATAAAAGAATAAAGAAACAGTCTGAACTTTTGGCACTGTGGTTCACCCCTTTCAAACATGTACCTTGATGAAAGCGTGGAGCTGCTCGAGCTGAGAGAAGGCCTGGGCTAACTGCCTCTGAAGCCGGTCCAGGGCCTGGGAGCTCTGCTGGGTCAGCCCCTCCATTTGCTCTGTGGCTGTCTTCTCCAGGGCGGCCATAGCATGCTCACTCGCACCCACTCTGGCCTGTAAGGCATGGATGCGCTGTTCCTATAGAAATCAGAGAAAGGCTTTTAATTCTTAATGGAACAAGCTTGTGATAAGAATACTACATATTTCTGAAGAATGCGCTGAAATATTATTATTAGTATTTGTGTTAAGAAGATATGTACAATCATCCTAAAAGGGTTAAAGGGGTACCTAACTTTGATACCACAAAAAATGTATGATGTAAAAAAAAAATCGGCAAACTTCAATAGTTGCTGGCTCTCAACACGAATTGATTCCATCACTACTTTTCACACGCATGTGTTTTTACTGTTTAAGATTACTGTTTAAGCGGCAGCAAAAAATACATGTTCCTTGATTTAAAACTGCTACACTGAGATACTAATGTTTCTCTCAGTGCGTGCAAGTTACTCTTTGGGTCAGTGAAAACATGTTCAAAATATGATTCAGTAAGTAAGTATTGAAGAAGTATGTGGTGTAAAGAGAGTAATGCTCTCAGCAGAGAGTGAGTGTCGGGTCAAAGAGTGTTCAGGCCTGTATCCTGTCTGAGTGTGTGTGTGTGTGTGTTGTGTTGAATAAGTGAGAAGGGTCTGAGCCAAATAAGCGTTTGTTCAACTCTCAGTATGTAAAAGATTGTGGTCGAATTTGTTTCCAAAATGTTACTTGATTAAAAAAGATTCTTTCTGAAAGGGACAAAGAATTTATGAAACGGCAAGAAAAGTTAGGTAGTCCAGATTTGAGAGACACAGTATGGTAATTTGCAGTTTTCCTGTAGCTGGTAGTATTTTGTTAATAAAGTTGTTATTCAAAATGTTTGAACATAATAATATTGATTATAGTTTATAAGAAAAAATTCGATCAGGAAGCAGCAAAAAGCGTCAATAAACACTTTACATTCTGCTACCCCTTTAGACTTTCCTGACGGATTATAAAATTGGTCATATGGTCACTATATTAAAAGACTAAAGTGAGCTACATTTGGAGCAATATGCCACCTTTTTCTCCACGTCCTCCTTCAGTTTGGTGCAGGCGGCCTCGCTCTGGCTTTTCTCTGCGGTTGCCACATTCAGACGCCTCTTCAAGGATTCAATAAAGGCCTTCCGATTGGTGGCTTCCTCTGCACACGTCTTCACCTACACACGCAGACAAAAATACAAACAGTATAAGAAAAGAGATACTGCAATAGATGATGCATTTTCTTTTTCCCACTCACAGTCATACATTCATGCATGTTTGATACATGTCTTATGTGCTGAATCCAAAACATCAAGGCTGTATTCCCCTTGTTACTATAACTTTTCTTTTACCTTTAAAACATGCTGTCACACTTTGATGAGGATTAGGCTTTTTCTGTGGTGTAGTTTGAATTCATGTTTCTTTTATTAAATAGTTTTGTATCAGTATTAGAATGTAAAGTAAATGTATACAATTGACCTTTTTCAAGATGAAAACTTTAAGCATATTCATTAAATTATGATAAAAACTCTTAGTTTTAATCTATGACTAATTAGTCTTTAAACATGATCTTTAAACATGATTTATAAATAAGTATAAATAAAAATAAAAAATAATGTGTTTTAGATGACGAGAACTTACAAAACTAAATCATTTTGGCCAATACAAGAGATAATCAGACTTTTTGCTTCATCATGTCGGGTGTTACTGGTCGAAACATGGCCTTTCTGAGCTGGGTTTGCATGTTCTCCCCGTGTCTGCGTGGGTTTCATCGAGGTACTCCGGTTTCCCCTACCACTAAAAAAATGTGCAATAGTTCAGGGTGAATGAGTGTGTGTTTGTGAGTGCGAATGTGGAAGCCAGACCCTTGTAGATCGCTGCGCTTCTCACATGGCTACAATCCGGAGTGATGTGTTCATTAACATGTACCGCCCCAACCAAATAAACAATAAGATAAATTAAATAAATACATTTTAGAAAGTAAAATAAAATGTTAGAATATATGATAAAATAAGGATGAAGGTTAAAAAATGCTTTCTGCCAGTAACTCCATATGCTACCACAAGTGGGAGGGGTTGATTTTGTCTTCTTCCAAAATTTAACACAGACATGCGATAATAAAGACAGTTATTTGACCAGATGAAGTGCCAAAACTAATTTATGGGCAATACTTTTGCTTTAAAATGCCAGAAACTGCTTTGAGTGCGATGCAATCAACATCATGACAATATTTGCACCACTTTGCGCTTTACTTTCTGTTACTGTGTGGTTTGGCAACTTCCCAGCCAAAGAAAGAAGAGTTCTAAATAAGGTGCTACGCTCTGCAAAGAAGACTGTGAGCTGTGATGTGAGCTGCCTGTTCTGGAGGTTCCTTATGAATCCAGACTCTTAAAGCTGCACTAACTGACTTTATTTTTGTATTAATTACTAAAATGCTATCCATGTCCGTGTAGGGCATTGGGATATACGTCCTTTTGAAGAAAAAGTAGCGCAGATTTGTGCTGGCGTGACATTATATTTTAGATCGAGTTTTGATGAAACAAGGAAGAGAATGTGTTTCGGGTCGCAGATTGTGACCAATCACAGCGCACCACTAGCCCCCACTTTCGTGAGAAATCTACAGGTCCGTTAGCATAGACAGCTGAGTTAGCACAACAAGCCAAGGAGCTAACCTGAAGCTTCACGTCTTCGTTACCGGTTACTGCTTACACAGCGAGACAGCCATCCAAAAGAAAGTCTCGTTCCTCCGCGCTTCCCGGTTCTATCGTTCTATGGTCACGCCATCCACGTGCAAATCCATATCCATGTATTATCCATATTGGAAGACACTAGCTCCGTCCCAACAGTGGGTGTGTGTGGGGGGCAATAGCTTCGTGGGTGCGGGGAGGGGAGCAGAAAGAGAGAGGCCAGCGAGTCCGCGGCTTCAAAATCCCAAAGTCAGTTAGTGCAGCTTTAAACCGAGCTCTTAAGATAATCAATGACTCTTCTGGCCCCTGGAAAAGCCATGTTCCAGCTTCTTCCCTCTGGCAGAAGATATTGTTCATTGAGATGCAGGACATATTTTTTTAATAACAGCTTCTTTCCACAAGCTGTTATCAGTTTAAACAGAGCACTTTAAATGGTCTTGCACTTGTATTGAACGCTTTTTAGTGTATCGATTTCACAATGTCAATTGTTTTCTGCACTTTTTCCGTTTTATTTCTGTACTTTTAACCTTGTTTATTTATATTCCTGTCTGGTGCACACTGGGGACTTTTGCTTATGTATTCCTATGTGGTTTTACCGCAAATAGCAAATAAAACGAATCTGAATCATTTAACACAAGACTGAGACAGGAGCTTTTAGACAGAGAGAGCTGAATTAGCAGTTTGTGCCAGACCTGCATGATATTAGCATGGATTGATCTAAAAACAACTCCAGGTCTGTTTTTGATAAGGCATTAATGTTGTAATAAGGTTGATTTAATTTTTTATTCAGTTATGTTACTGTTGTTTTTGATGAGGGAACAATATCGTAACATGCAAACTCATGAAAACCACTTTTTATCTGTTCAATAGATTCACCTTCTTCTCCAGATCCTCCACCTGTCCGCGGTAACTGCTTTCCAGATCTTGCAAAAACTTCAGTCTTGTTTTCAGGTCCTCCACGAGCTGTCGCTTCATGTTTACATCTCGTTCTACACGGGCCGCTCTGCCAAACAAATTAAGCAGTGACACGTTGCATACAAATAGACACATGGCGCGCGCAGGCAAAGGCAGGCAGCCCCCGTGTCCCCGCGCACTGCATCAGCCGTGACAGCTCATTATGACAACTAAATACACTGGCATGCTGTTTGGGTAAATGCTAAGAGGGGGTTGGAATAGGAAAGCGTGTGTAATTTTAAGTGGCATATTAGAACAAGTACTCTGGTGGGGATGGCGCACAGAGCATGACTGGGGAATCCTCTGTGACAAACAGCATTTTGAATCCGCGGTGACACAAGTGAACACGTTTATTATGTTTATTTTTGTAATGCTGACACGCTTCTAAAATGATGTCACTGAGACTTGTGTACTAGGTTAATATTGTCTGACAGACAGGTGCGCTTGCATACACATTCAAGTATTGATTTGTTCCACATTTAGACCAATTAGGGCTCAGCTTTATCTTAAATTGGAAAAATATGTTAGCATGTTTAATCTGCTATCATAAAAGGAAAATATGAGGCGTTTTCATGGTTGTCAATACCACTGGGAAAATGAACAAATAGAATAAAGATCATAAGGCTGTTGTTAATTAAAACGTTCTTTTCTTTTTTTCAGGGAAGTGGAGATTCTCCCACGTGCATCGTGGCTTGTGTGTTTTAAACAAACAAATGATGCAACAGCTGGGAAAATGCTGGTGAGTAAGTAAATGTCCCCGCCTCCCCAGGTAGAAAAATTGCTTGAGGGCAGCCTCGCTAAATAAATGTGAACCTGTCCTATTGGAGTGACATTAAATTAAATGAAAGAGTCTTGCCTTGGGACTTTGGGGGGAGTAGCGCTGGATGGTTACCCCATGGATTTGGCCATTAATGAGAAAACCCATATTGAACCTTTCAGATGGCTGTCTGCTGTTGACTTAAAGACAAAGCGCAGCAATAAGAGTCAGCAGCTACCCGTGCCCCAATGCTAATGGCAATTAGATGGACAGCATTTATTTTAGATGTTTCTTTTTCTGCACCCCAAAAAGAATAGAGGATAAAAAAGAATGATGGATGGCGGGTGTTTCTGCCAGGGCGTGTGATCTCTATTTATGAGTGTTAGTGAGCAGCCAAGACCAGAAGCTCAGACTCTGCTATCCCCATAACTTAGGCATTTGTTCCCTTTGTTCTGTGCTTGTTGGCAATATTGTTCATCAAACATGCGTGTATTGTAATGATAACAGTCAGCGGTCTGCAGTGTGAGTGAAAGTGAGTGCGAACATTTGGGTGGATGTTGTTAAGAATGGAGAGTGCTGGATGTTTCATGTGGCTGATAGACAACAGGGCTAAAGATGAAAGAAGCTGCTTCATAAATAAGGCAGGGCCATAGTGCCGGATATTGACTGAGGACATGCCGGTGTACTTTGAAATTCATTTCATTTTTTTAGCTCTTCTCTTCTTTAAGGCGAAGCAGCCTTGCTCCCCGTGTGTGCGCTGAGATGTATATTTTAGAGATGTCTAGACATGTCTTTCATTCTGAGAAGGAGTCCCCCCATAGAGGAAAATGGACTATCTACAAGGCTGGCGCTTGCATATATGGGAGTACAGTGTGACAAGTATGTGGAGACTGCTGTGGAACCCTCTGCTGCATTGGGGATGTTCCCTCTTTGTGGCTGTGATCCTTGTGTCACACACCAACACATGCCCACTGTGATTGTACACATGCCCCGTATGCATTATTGAGAAAGAGAGGCAGAGGACACAGAATACTAGACAAAGAGAATGAGACGAGCGAATGCCAACTTTGTACCTCAACTTGTTCTTTGTACCTTTTTTACAGTTCAAACTTTCATCGTAATGCAGAATGACAAATTGTGCCTTTTACAACACCACATTGTTCCTAAGTGAATTGTTTACATCTATAGTTCTGCACTATGTAATGGAGCCAGTGTTGCAGGAGGTGAACCGTGTAACTCATTAGGGTTGTGTGGCCCACAGGCCAGAGTGATAGTGTGTGGGTTTAGGTGTCATGGGCCAAACTGGGCCCCTCCTGCGGCACACAAACAATCAATACAGGTCTTTGATCAGCCCTCCACAGCAGCAACCCACATAAGAAACCCTACACTACATGACACACAAGACACCCACATGCACACTGCACTCCTTTACACTTGTATCTGCACTCCTGCTTCTTAAGAGAACATGCATAATTTCACTAATCATCTTCAGAGCAGAAAGACGGGCAGCGGAGAGGTGCAGGAGACCGAAAGCTGCCACACGGTGGAATCACACACTGCAGATGTGAGGAGCTGTGGATGTGCCAACATGTAGAAGGATGAGAGCGGAGACAAAGGCACCGGCTTTGTCCAAAGGGTCGAGTGGCACAGGCTTTTCTTTAAGTTTAAAATGGATCTTCTTAAGTTTCACAAACCACATTCCAATAGCAAGAGAGAGGTGCTAGATCTCAGCAACTACAGGCAGTTAAAACCATACTTCAGGTTAAATAAATTACAATACATTAGGTGATATATTGACTGAAGTGGGTTTTTAAAATGTAATGTAGGTCAGTTAGATACTGTAAGCAGTATGATGTTGTGAGAGCTGTAAAGCAGAGCAAGTGGAGCTGTAGCAGAGCAAAAAGAGGACACAGTAGTAATAATAATAATGGTGTGAGACTAACTTGTCCTGTAGTTGGCGGAGCTTGTCCTCCTTCTCCTGGAGCTGGCCTCGCAGGGCTTTGTTAGCTGCCACCTGCCTCGTAACCTCTGCACCGGAGCTCTGGGGGAGGGGGGAGAGGGGGAGACTGTGTTAATGTGGGGGAGAGGCGGCAGGAGGGAGGGGGGCTGCTTTTCACGACACAGCTGATGACAGGTCAGGCGCTACATGCCTCCTCATTAGATCTACAGCGGGAGGGTGGAAGGTGCTAAAAGAGGTTAAGAGCAACGTGCTAGTTTTCAAAGTGGATCAAATGAGGGGCATAATTAGGAGAAAATAACTGTATTCGTTGTGCTTTTATTGAGTCTTATGGTTTATATATTCTTCTAATTAAATACCTTAGGTAATTAGTTATGACTGGGAACTGAATGGGTGTGTTAAAGTGATGCTAATAACTACCAAACAAAAAGGCATAATAAAAAAACCTGATAAAATCAAGCTTTTTATTTTATATATTGGGTTATTTTCAAACTGTGGCCAAAATGGACAATGGTTTGGTATTGGAGTTTTATAAACGTAACTGTACATCTTATGAATTGTTTAATGTTGTTGTGCTGTAATGAAACAGGGCTCTCATTCAAAAGTCTGGTCCTCTCATCGAGCTCTACTGTCTAAATGAAGATGACAACAATAAAAAACACACTCGATAGGGCCCTGGTTTGATATACATCGCAATATGAATACATTGCAGTATATTATATATTGCGATTCGATTCTATTCAGTATGTTTGACGCATTGGTTTGGATGTCCCTTGATTATATTCTACAAACTTCAGCACTACTTTCTTCGCCAATATTGATCGAGTGGAGTTTCAGGTGTTCCATCATAATTAGGTCATTATTAGTGGCTAAAGGAATAACTCTTAACTTCAGATTGCAGATGTTTACATTTTAAGCCTGTACTACAACATTGTTTTTTTGTGTTTTTTTTTTTTATTGAGCTGCGAGCCATAATTATCAACATTATGTGTTGGACAGTACAAGCGACAGAAAAACATGTGTTAACTATGTTGAGAAGTGCTACAGCAAAACTTCTACAGTAATTTACTTTCACTTTCATGTTCACGTTATTTCTGGTTGACCTTTATATAAAATTACTTTAATAAAGCAAACATATACACTTGATTCTGTTCTCCATTTGAACGTTTCCTTTTGGATTACTCCATGGATAGTAATCCAAAAGTTATGTAACTTAGTTACTTTCTTGGGGCAGTAACAATGTATATTATGCCGCGCTTGTGTGAACCGCGTACGGCTCATGATGACAGTTTACAGTAGTTTTCAATCCCTGCGCTATTATTGGAACCTGCATGTTCCATTGGTATACAGGGCCCTGCAGTCTCTGGTGGACACTATTCCACAGTGTGCTCGCTGAAGACTGCACCCCCTCTGTGCTCCCCTCCACAGCACGCCGCTTGGGCCGTCACCTGTCATGACTTCCTGCGCACATGTAACGACAGAGCCAATCTGCGGCGTGACACTGACGGGGAGGCTGTGCTACACCTAGTCTCCACAGCTAAAGCCCATTCCTCATCTCTGTGACAGGTGCCTGCTAATAAGATCAAATGATAAGGAATGCTAATTCATGTCCAAATCACATCAGAATCAGAATCAGAATCATTTTTATTGCCAACGTAAGTAACGGGAGGTCACAGACTTGGAAATTGCTTTGGCTCAGTGCAACAGTCAAAAAGAGATAATAAAAATAAGAATAAAAAACACTTCTAAAGAATAAATTTAAATTTAAAATAGAGTTACAGTTACTATTTACAATATACAAGTGCACATGGTGCACACAATGTAAGGTGACAGCAGTACAGTGAAGTAAATGCAACATGCAATTTCAGGTGATCTGAGGTGCAGACTGGCAAAGCTGGGGAATTTGTAAGATTTTGCACTTGTATGCTTTAAAAAGGAGAACCTTGACGGCTTCTTTTATAGATTCTTAAAGTTCTCAAGGACCGTGGGCTGTTCGGAGCATAGATGTAAGTGACTCAGAGATATTGATCTTTCACTAAAACACCAGGGATTTATTTTGCTAAAGATAAAAAGCATTAGCTCATTACAGTTATTGCAAAACTCTGTATCAAAAAGGAGATCAGAAAAAGAAACCATGTGGCATAATAATCAAAGAAACTTTTATTCATGAAATATGGGAACCCATTTGAACTATGCTTTTAAAAAAAATTAACAGGTGATACTCAACGGTGATCAAAATATATGATCAAATTATAGAAAAGGTGTCTGTATGATTTTACATCTGAAGTCCAGACAGACAATTAATCACCTATTAATCATCACATATGAGGCAATATGAGCAGAGAAGAGTGAAAATATATTTTTACACATTTTGGCGCCAATCAAACAACTCTTTTGTTTCCTAAGTGGCATCACTTTAGCTTTGACTTGAATTTTCGCTTTCGCTTTCATGTGATGACCGTTTATACTGGAGCACCAACTAGTGGACAACAACAAACCACAGTGAACATTGGTAAGCCCCCTGGATGGGAAATGTTATTATAAAAAAGAACGTATGGAAGCGTCTATGTGTATAACCCATAGACTGTAAATATTAATTGATGTGTCATGTCATTTTCTTCTCCTTAATCAACTCCTGGGTCGGGGGGGAGGAAATCAGAGCTGCCACCCCATGGTAAAAGCACCAGCCCCTCACTGATCCTCCTGCAGGTGGTGGGTCCACAGGAAGATGGTTTCTCCATCATCAAAGACATGGCCTTAGTCTTTCAGCGGGGGCTACAGGCAAAGTGGGGTTAAGGGTCTTACCCAGGGACACAACGACAGCAGATATCAGAGAGAGTAGGTGACATGGTTCGTGGGATGATCGACCCCACGTTCAATAGGTCCAAAGACCATTGCACTACCAACTAAGCCACCGTCGCCGCCAAATTAACGGACATAGTGACGTCTATTTCCTATGTTGAAATGTATGTGCCACAGACATGGGCAAATTCAAAAGGCCTGCGGGTAGCTCTTTAAAAATAATTAATAATAAAATAATTAAAAGAGGGAGAAGCATCACCGACTGCAAGGGATTACAGGCTCCAAAAGATTGTTTGTCCTTTCACCTGAGAAATTACCTAAACTTATTACTAAACGTTTGTTTTAAAAGGCAGAAACAGGGACTTTTAGAGACAAGGGGTGGAGTTATATGTTTGTACCAGAAGTTCCCGATACAAGTGTGGAGGAACAACTTCAGGTCTGGGTGCCAATGCCATTTATCCGCATTATATCCGGGGAAAGTGCCACTCATGAAATATCATGAATAAAAACATTCTTGTCCGCACTAGTCATTACCTTGAGTTTAACTTGAAGCAGCTTGACCTCAGCCTCCAGGGCAGGCACGGCGGTCAGGGCAGGGTCAGGTGGGCACGGTCGGCCTTGGCAGAAGCACGCAGGGGGGACGGGAAAGGCAGGTACTGGGGCAGGTTTGGGAGGTAGAGAGACCTGCCTCCACTGCTTCAGCTCCATCTCCACAACTTTCTTCTGTTGTTCTACTCCGGCCAAGTCAAAGGTCAGCTTCTGTGGGTTGACCGACAGACACAATTGGTGAACTAGTAAAAGCTGATATGGCAACAATAAGTAGTATAAAATAGAGTTGCTATTATTAGGTGAAGGTAATATGGAGTTACTATAAAGATCCAAAACAAAATTGCACCCAGTAACAGTGTGCAGTATTTGCCCAGACGAGTAGTTATGATACAGTCTGGTCACCCTTCCTATGCTACACCTAAATTCATTATTAAACAAATCAACAAATCTTCCCTCAACTTGCCCATAAAAGAAAGATTTGTGTAAAGCAATAAACACTAATAATTGCCCAATGCAGAAGTTCAAAGCTTAGGAAAGGTTTGAATAACTATACAAACTTTTCAGGTTTGTCTTTTTGCACACAAGACAAAACCATGTATCATTTTCTTTCACTTCACAGTTGTCCATGTCTTTGTTGTGATTTCAGAAAAATACCCCAAATACAATCTTTGTTTGTGCTTGTAAACGGTATACTGTATATACGTAGATGTTGACATAATTCATATAAAAGGTAAAGGTAAAGGTGCACATATTTCGAAAATGCAAAGAGATGCATATTCTGTAAAGGTTTATGTTAAATTGAGATATGTTTGCGATTTATTTGAAATATGAGGTGAGTGTGCTGCACGTATCCAGTCACACACAAACTAACTATGGTGTCCTCAAAAAGCTCAGATAAAGAGAAGCAGGACAAAAATACAAGTTTCTTGAATTATGCCATATGGTCATTCTGTCTGTATCATATCAAACACAGAGCATTCTTAATGGCATAAATTGGAGACTTGATACATGAAGATATATGCTGCTTACAGAAGGCACAAACACCGCCACACACAAGCCTATACACACCCTGGTGAAACCGCAGAATCCCCCGGGCCTGCTCCCTGCTCTGCATACATGGAGGTTATTGATATCTGGTTGCTGGCTGACACCTTTTAATAGAATCCTCTTGTTTTAGGTTTCCTGCAGGAGAACATGGCCCGTCCCCGAGGAGCCGCAGGACTGATGGAGTGAGAGCACCGTGGGCTGCAGCAGTGACAGTGGTGCACGAATTGATAGTGGCATTGATGACACTTCCGGTAAGACAAGCTTTGATTTCACAGGCCATTTTGAGCGGTGGTGAGATGACACTTCCAAGGGCTGAATAATGTGGCTCCATTAGGCCCGCGGGGGGAGAGAGGACAGCCATCTCTCTTTCCTGCCAGCGGTGGTCAGGCCCAGCTCTGAAGTGATACCCAATCATTAGCAGGATAAATAAAGAAGCTGGCTCTGCTGAATTAGCTGAATTAGCCTGGTGTGAAATGAGGATATGGCGGATACTCGAGAAAGATCTAGCTGAACAGAATGCTGGTAAATACATTGTAAAAGATAATTCATTGTGATTTTTTGGTTGTGCAGCACCTTGAATTCATCAGCCATTGCAGTCTGGTTATTGTATTGATGATTGTTTATGTTAGAATTCCTTAACATGATATTTTTGCCGTGTTGTGTTTAAGGTTAGTTTCTTAATCATTTACAAGGGGAAAAAACTCAGTTTTGTAATTCCCAGTAAGGTGTTAAATTTCTGTTCTTTATTACCAAACTCAAACATATATAATACGGCCATACAAAGAACATAATTTTACCCGAGAAAATGACAAAAATATTTTGGAGATAATGCTTTGGTTTTGAAACGGCTCTGACCATGACGTAATAGTTTAAAGGCTGTAACAAATGAATCGATTAGCCACAATTAAATAGTTGAAATAGTTATCTGTAAGAAGGTTACGAAGGAGGTTTCCCAGGGGTGTTACTTGAAATGTATAAAAAATCCCATATTCACTGATCTAAACAACTAATTGATTTTCAAAATAACAGCTAAGTTTCAGCCCTATTAAGGATTCATCATGGCATGCCAAGTTTGAGACAGGGCATTTAGAAGAAAAGGGTTAGGGGATACATTTGTGCCAGAAGTTCCTGATATTAGCAGACTTGACTGAGATTGACAAGGGACCTACAAGGGACTTTGTATTAAAAGCTCAAAAAAGTTGATTTTGCACAGTTAAACAATTCTAAAAAAGTTCAAGGAAACGGTTACTGTGATTGAATTCAAATTGTAAATGTCAAAATGTTGCATCCATTATATGTATAGTATTAACATGCAAAAGGAGGGTAGAACAAATCAAATCATGCACACATAAAAAGGTAACCTGAGTTTAATACCAACACCTCTGCTTGTGTAGATAATCCTACAGTCTACAGGCACAGGATCCTTTCTATGGGAATGATAAGCATGACGGACACATACTCAACGAAACACCTATTGCACCTGTCACCTGCTTTGAAGCTTTGCCACATGCTTTTTTTGGTTCTGACCGGTTTATTCAGATTATTGGGGGATATAAGAAGTAATCCACATGGTTAGTCCTGAAAGTAAATACATATGTAACTAAAGGAAAGGGTAAACAATGATCCATACTAGAGAAGCAAGGGAAGGACAGCATGGCCCAAGCAGGAGTGAGCAGCACAAACAAGTGGAGTGTGGAAGTGCCATGCTCCCCCTCACATGATGGCCCCTGTGGAGCCTGTCCTAGGCCAATTACCAACAGAGTTTGAGTTAGAGAGTTGGCTAGGACCGGCTGGAAGGAGCTCAGAGTCCATCACCTCTTGCCCTTTTCAGAGAGGGCAACGAGACCCGGCTTTGACCAGACAGTGTGCTCCAACTTTCTCTAGCAGAGTGGCATTAATACTGCAACAGCAAAGTGGAGGAAACAAACAGAAAGAAGACAACAACTCCTGTGCAGGGCTGTCCACTCATTGACACTACAGTGTGCATGTGTCCGCGGCCTCTCCGGGCGGGCCGCTGCTGTCAGATGCCTAGGAGGGAGCACCAGGGCCACTTCCTGGGCAGCAACAGTATGAGGTCTCCAGTCTGACCCATGTGTGCAAGTCCAACACACTGTTATAAATATACAGAGGATTCCTAATCAGCTGTCCAGTATGCCTATGCCAGCAATCTCTCCTGTCAGGACTGTGGCTGCCTGTCTGTGTCAGTGTGTGTCGGACAGGAAAGATACTCTTTAAGGGCCAAAGTGCTCACTGTTTTATTCATACTTTGCGGCCAAGCTATACCTGTAGGCGGGTACTAAATAACTTAATAGGTGAGTGGCACAACACCAGCACTGATATCTAAAGAAATAGTCCAAGTGACATTGTCGAGAGGAGTCGATCCGTTTTGAAACATTGAACAGGACAACAAAACAGCACAGGCTGTGAGAGAAAATTCTAGTCTCCTCTGCTGCCTGGATTTGACCTCCAGTTGGACATGTGTGTGGCTGTCAGCTAAACTTATTAGGCATGGTAAAGGAAAAAGTCCTGCTACTGCTCACAAACTATAGTATACAGTAGATAGAGTAGGGCTGGGCGATATGGCCGAAAACTGTATCACAATACAAGTGATTTATATCGGTCGATATCGATAATTATTGATTGTTTTTGTTGTTCTTTAAAATAAAAAAAACCTAAATAAATACATTTATCGTGTCGGCTAACACGTAAACAGCCCTTATTTATAGTCACGGGGGAAAGAGAACTCAGGCTGGAAGCATATGCTCACAAGAAAAAGTGTGCCCCATTGTCAGTCCTGGTTTAGTCCTGGTTTAGCTCCTGATTTGGCTGTTTTCGAGTGTCTTGTGTCCCTGTGACGGGGCTCTCTGATAGCCGCACATGGTTCCAGAGGAACAAGTTCATCTCTTGCATGCATCGAGTCGCTTTCCCCAGTGCCCACTGCCTGTCCTGCGCCGCACATGCTATTCCTCGCACGGACGTTCATTGACACGGCATTGAAACATGTCAACTTTAGATCCATGGACGTAACGAATGGTGCGGTTGGTTTCATTTCCCAGTATGTTTTGCGGTTCATGCTCGGCCGTGATAGGTAGAGAAGCCTTTGCCTATATCCCCCAGTATGACGCACGCTTCTGACTCAGCTTTTCTTCCTGTGTTTTCCATTCATTCATCCATCCATTTTCTACCCCTTAATCCATTTCTGGGTCGGGAGGGTGGCCAGAGATGCCATCCAGTCCACATAGCACCAGCCCCTCACTGATCCTCCTGCAGGTGGTGAGTCTACAGGAGGATGGCCGCTCTATGGCATAGCCTTGATCTTCCAGCATCATGTGTTTTCTGAAGTTAAACTATTGAACATTCTATCAACCCAATTTTCTATTGATATCGAACATGTGTTTGTTATATCGTTATTGTATATATATCGTTTTTGCTCAGGACTGGATGATAAATAAAGGTCACCTGTGTGTAATCCACTTTCATAAAACGATAACAATGTATATTGTGATAGACACGTGTTCGATATCTGTAGAAAATGGGGTTGATAGAATGTTCGATGTTAATCTTGACTTAACACTGTTAGAAAAAAAACAGGAAGTGAAGCCGAGCATGAACCGCAAGGCATTCTGGGAAATGCAAAAAAAAAATAAAAAATATAAAACACCAACAACAACTGGACCATGCAATGCAACTATGGATCTATAGATTGCGTCGTGTTTCAATGCCGTGTCAATAATGATGCATCTTCGTGCGAAGAATAGCATGTGAGGCGCAGCAGAGGTAGTGGAAACGGCGACTCGATGCATGCTGCAAAAGCAAGAAATTAACTTTTTCTGTGACTATAAATAAGTGCTGCAAACGTGTTAGCAGACACAAAAAAATATGTATTTAGGTTTAAAAAAGAACAATCAATAACTATTGATATTGAACAATATGAATTATTTATATTGTGATATAGTTTTCAGCCATATCACCATGTTCCAAATGCGTCTCCTAGGTTACCTGTACGAGTAGCTTGCTGCTGCTCAGCTTCTCAGTGAGGGTGTTGAATTGCTCTGTGATCTTTTGGTTGGCCAAGCGCAGATCTCGGGCAGATGCCAGGGCCTCGTTCCTGCTTCTTCTAAGCAAGTCTTCGTGACGCTGTAGGGACTGAATGTGTTGCTGCAGACACGAGGTGGGGCCGGCCTGCGTCTTCTTCCTCTGTGTCTGTCTCCTCCACCTCCTGTTCTCTCCTTCCCGATCCCAGGACTCACGCTGTTCCCCATCTAACAGGAGGAAGTCATACATACAGGCGCCTCTGAGTTGACAAGTACGAGAAAAAACTCCAAATCCCAATTTAGAGAGCTACAACTGGGAGTGTCTTTGCGTGCGCACAAGTGGATAACAAGCGTGGTATATTTAACAACTTGAATGATTAACATTTTACATCTATGAATAATTCAGCAAAGGAAGACGGAAAAGGAAACAACGTGTAAACTTCCCAGATACTTGTTTCTGATCAACACTAAGAGAACGTTGTTTAGGATTTGATTAATAGTCGATTAGGTTTTTGTAGCTCTGCATGGGTGAGGATTTGTGGAAACTTGCCTTGGTTTCGAAGACGATTTCTAGATGAGTTTACAAGCAGCTCTTTAGTCTTTGAAATTGGTGCAGGCCTGTAAGACTGCAAGCATAAGAAAAAACATTCAAATGAGTAAACAATTCCATTGAAGTTTTGTGGAATAAAAACTTGTAATAGATAGATAGATAGATGGATATAATTATGTCAATCAACCAATTTTATCCGTCCATAGTTTGGTTTAAGCAGTCAAACAATAGTAATAAGTAATAACAAGTAATAGTAATAGCTACAATACAACAAGCTGAACCAATAAGACCACATTGTTTCGTTGTGATTTTACCAGAAAACATTTTATCTTTTTGGGCTGAGGGAGATCGTTTTGTTTTCTGTTCCAAAAAAGGTAATCTGTTCCAAAAAAGGTAAAAGATTCATTCGAAGATTTTACTTGAAACTACATAATATCACATTTAGTAACATGTACCAAATTCAGTGAATATTATTACTGTTCAATCATGTTGGCAGTACATTTTTACTGCCTTTTTTATACACTGCTCAGGCCTCCATTCACCCCTCCCTAAATCAGACGACAAGTGTTTAATCTAACATAACTGGTGACATGTCATGCTTGTGGTAACGCTTCTAATAATGACACCATGATCACAGGGTGCACTCTGTTTAACTCCACCAGACAAATCACCCAGAGCTTTAATAATTCACCTGAGCATGTTCTCCTGACTTCAACTCCTACTTTTCTCCAAGTTGATATCGTCCCTGACATATGCCTGCGAACACTTCCTTTGTTCAATCACTGTCTAAAAGCTGCGATTCATTTGTATGGCATGAGCGTGCGTGCTTCTAAGTGTCCGTATGCGGGTGACACCTCCCAACTGTTCCTCCGTTTGTAGTGGCATCAAAGAAGCCCCTTCTCTGCGGCGAAGGTCAGGTAGCATTCGATCAGTGCCAGGTTTGATCACACGGTGCTGCACGGCGAGGGGAGAGGAGACAGGAGCTTTGGGCTTGTGACGGGATAGGGTTCAGAGGGGCTGGGGGGTTGTCACGGGGATGAGCCCAGGAGGAGATGATGGGTGCGTTTAGCCCAATTGGGAATGAGGAAACAGTGAGGGGATCAGTTGCAAGAGGGTCTTGACAGCTCAAGGTCTATAGGAGAAGCACTAGTATTTCTGGAGCATTCGCCATGATAGAGATAATTTGGAGTGGGGGTGTCTTCTCTTCTTTTGCAACTAATCAACAATATACTATTATATAGTGCATACTGTGAATACAGAGTATTCTTATAATGCCCCACAGGCATTATAAGAATACTCTAATGACACATGTAAAACCTTAATTTGAGTAGATGTAAAGGAGGATTAGCTTGCATGGCTGATTAAAACATAAAGGTCATGGGAAGAACAGCCGAAGGCTTGTAGCGCTTTCAAGCCCCAGGTAACACAACCAGATCCACCATACAGTCAGACAAGTGTGTACGGCCAGCTGGAAAGACTTTTGAGCCAAAGCCATCACAGAGGTGTCATAGCAGCTCCAGCTGTAGCTAGTCACTGATCTCCAGAGCATCGACTGTATCCGAGCAGAGCAGAAAGAATGAGCCACAAAGCCAACACAATCCTGCTTCAAAGGCTGCCACCAAGTCAAGACCAGTGCTTTGATGGCTCAAGTGGTATTTCCACGGGAGTGGGAAACGAATCCCACACAATTATTTGAAACAATAAATTCATTGTGTAAATTTCCTCCCTTTCTCAATAGTCTCAAAAGTAGAATGCAAAAACATAACAACATTTTGGCTAGTGGCATTTTATGCTTGGTCTCCACCAACATATATATACATCAATTTCCAACTGGCTAAATAGCAAAATATTAATTGACAAAACTATGAATAAATCATAACGTACCTTTCTGCGGGCATGTGGCTTTCTGAACTCGTTCTTGCACGTCGCACTGTCGAGGCTGTCCGAGTACTCATCTCCATCATCACTGAAACCAAAGGCAAAGAGAGCACCATCATAGGCCAAAAGTTATAACCCAGAGATCCCTGGCTCTCAAACTTACCACCCTTGGACAAAAATCCAATTTACCTTTTATGGTTGATTTAGTTGACATCAAGCAAAAATATGTGCATCCCCCTTACCAACAGAAAATCAATGTCCCGTCCAATTTCTGAAGCTGGAAGTGTAAATGCAGCAGTAAATGAAGTGAGGCGGGTGAATGCATCAACATGTATGAGCGCGGCTGTGGCCTTCATTAGCCCAGGGCCCAGTGTGACAGACGGCTGAGAGGAGCCACGCTGCCTCTGATGGACACGCGCACACACACACATTCACACGGCTTTATTGACAGCGACCTTTGACGTGGAGGTGGAAGCCAGTGACATTTACGCTGGTGGGGTTTATTAAGGTGGGGCCTGGGAGAAGCAACAGAGGTAAAGAGTGCACAGAGAGAAGGGATCTGAGTGGAACATGACAGCGCTGGAGGCAAGTTAGGGTTAACCGGGCCAGGGCGCAGGACAGGGACAGGACCAGGACGGACAGGAGACACCTTCTTTATGACTAGAGGAATATTTCATCATTTTTGGTTATAAGGTGAAAATCAGAAAATTAGAACATCAATAAAAAGTTAATTCACAGTGCCTCTATAAAGAACAGACCTTGAACTTTTGCAATTTCTTTTTTACAACCATATGGATTATATTTGGATTTTTTACTGGAAACTCACAAAGTAACAGAAGACTTTGAAGTGAAAAAAAAAAAAAAAAGACAATTCATGTTTTGTTATTAGTATAAAGTTAATCAGAAATTGGATGGCGTATAATACAGGACATTATTGGAAGCAAAGCTGTATTTACTCATGCTATAATATTACTTGTGCATGCCCTGATTTCATGTATCATTATGCCTTCACCTCAGTTGCATTGTGTACTTGTGTGTGAACTTTAAGCAAAAAAAATAAAAAAAAGATGTTTCTGGTTGTAAACATGGCAAAATGTGCAAATGTTCAAGATATATTAGCACTGTCAAGAGGCACTGTTATTTCTGTATTTAAACTTAAAATGAAAAACCAATATAATATAATACATGAAAGCTGCATATGCCAAGTTTAAATTATGGTTTGGATTTATAGCGGCTTTAAATATTGCCGTTTTAAATAAAGGCTTGATTTATCTCACTTTGCATGTGATGTCATATATTAGCTTCACGTTGTAAGCTGAATTACAGAAGTGAATTAACTTTTGAACGATATTCCAATTTCCCACGTATGAAGAGACAAAGTAGGGATTTAAATCAACTGTGTTCAAGGATAAAAAACTGTTTGAAAAGGGGTCGAAGGAAGCGGAAACTAATTTTTTTCAACCCACTCACTCACGACACATCTTTTCCATAACTTGCTCTGTGCTGAGGGCATCACTGACTTTCCTACACGGATTTTCAAATGATATTAAACTGTAACCATCGAGACAAAATGTAGCAGGAGAAAGAATAATTTCCGTATATAGATTTATGTTGGATGACTGTGTGTACATAGATGCCAGTAAAGTCAGTGTAAATTTAGTACTTCTGTAGCTCAGTTAGAGCATTGGCCTTTGAGCCAGAGGGTCATGGGTTCGAGCCCGACTTTCACCATCGACTCGCACTGTCTGTTGTTGTGCATGTCCTTGGCAAGACACTTAACCTCTGGGAACACCAACCACAGTGGGGCGGCTGCGGTTGTAAAGTGCCAAACTGCCGTTGTGTCCTTAGGCAAGACACTTGACCCCCATTGCCTAGAATGAGTCTGGTGTGTGTGTGTGTGTGTGTGAATGGTTGGTAGTGGTCGGAAAGCGTCTTTGAGAGTCCAAGAAAGCGCTATATAAAACTGATGCATTATTATTATTATTAAATTTAGTAAGAATAGAGGAAGCCATACCAGTAGAAATGGCACAGGGCATTGGTGGAAGCATCTCAAAAAGAAGTTCAAGTTACACTGCTCTACTATTGCAAATGTGGCACGACAATAGTGGTGCCCCATTTGTAGCTCAGGTCAGGTTTCTGATGCTTCTCCAGCTTTGTATACTCATGTACTACAAGATAAAACATCTAACTGATTAAATTCTCCCCTGCCTTAAAAACTGCCCGCTCTGCTCAGAATAGCTCCAGCAGCTCAAAACCTGTGAGGCAGCCAGAGGCGGCCGGAAAAAAAAAGTAAAAAAACAAACACACTTACACACACGCACGCACAGAAAAAACACACACAGACTTGTCAGTACCCTTAACTGACATCTTCATTTTGTACTATTTAGGAAAGGAAGTCCTTAGGCAGAGATGGAGTATTTCTGGAACTGCCTATAAGACATATTGCTGGGGAGGACCAGCGTGAGGGCAGGAGGCGCAGGAGGCTTTACAGTAGCAAATCAGTTGACAGCTGCCTTAAATAAGACAACATCTCGGTTCAGGGCCCTTCTTCACAAATCCACTTAGATCCTTCTCCCAGGTAAAGCGTATATTACAAGGCTGCTTATTAGCCACACGGAGACGCATTAGAGAAGCAGGGCAGCGCAGCGCCCGGTCCCTGCTAAACGGCCTCTCGTGTATAGAGCCGGGGTGGATTACGGCCTGATGAATTAGTTCGGAGGAGGGATCTAGAGTTAGGCGGGTGCAAAAAAAAAAAAAAAACCTGAACAGTGAGAGAAGCGATGGGAAATAAATAGCGGCGATAGCTCGAAATCAAATCATTCCAGCCATCACTCAATAAACGTTGGCTCAGTGGCTTCTTTGCATAAAACATACATGAAATAATTACGGCCGATGGTTCTTAATTTAGAGGGTGTTAAACAGCTTGTAGACATCTGGTACGGAGCCGAGTAGGGTCATTCAAAATGTATCCGACTAAATTAAAGGAGAGGATGGAGAAATGTGGAGCGGGTGATGGTGGGAGGGGCTATAGGTGGAAAATAGAGGTGCATTACAGAACTGACAGATCACAAGATAACCAGAATGACTAGAGAGAAAGTATGGGTAGATATGGAGAGGGTTTGGCGGGAGGGGGGCAAGCATGGGTACAGGGGGATGCTTAGTGCTGTCAAGGGGGGGTTAGTGAATATGCAAAGGACCAGTAAATTAAATCAAACTGCCAAACTGTCAATTTGGAGGTAGCATGACTAGTGCATGAAAATGGCATCACTGGATGGTATCAAGGCTTCTCCGGGCCCCTTATCCCTCGGCTTTTCTGGCATCGGTTCAACTTTGTGCGGAGAGGTGGCTAATTTTGCATGCAAATTTCAGTCAATAAGCTCCAAGCAAGGCGTCCCAGGATATTTCAAAGGATCTGACAGTAGTTTCCCCCTCCTCTCCCTTTTCTTTCTATCGCCAGAGCTCACATTCTTCTTTTGGCTACAGAATACCAACTAGACAGACGATGAAATTCAATCACACATTTGCTTACACTTTGCATATGCACGTTGTCCCCTCGATGCTGCATGGCCCACCACATTTACACCCACAGACACTGCAATCCTCCTGCCTAAAAATAATGAGGCGCGGCCACTGAGTGTGTGTGTGTGTATCATTACCTTTCTGCGCTCATGTCCTCCCACTCATCCTTAGAAGGACTGGGGCTGCGGCAGTGCCAGCTGATGGCTTGATTGGGGCCGACTCTTGGGTGGCTGTGCGGGTGTAGCGGACCTCGGAGTCGACTTGTTTTGAATTTGACCTTGCCGCTAATGTTGTTCATAATCCCAGCAGCCCGTGTTGGCCCTGCTGCACGGTGCCTATAGAAGTCCCTGGCTGCACGTACAATTCCCAGCTCCTGCTTCAGTTTGAGCAGCTTGTGATGAAGCCGAGTAGCCTCTTTCTGGGAGGCAGCCAGGCGGCCTTCTACAGCCATGATCTCACTGCGGTGTCTCTCTGCCTGTAGCAGAGCCTGGGCCTGGGCCGTCTCAGAACGAGCAGCATCCTGAGCTCGACACTGGTCTAGAGAGGCCTGCAGTCTGTAGCAGTTATGAGCTAGGTCCTCCTTGCTCTCCTGTAAGTGCTCCTTCTCTTCCCTAAGTCGCTCGGTCTCCTCCTCCAGAGACACCATCTTCCGTTCCAGCTGCTCAATCTGAGGAGGCAAAGAGGTCTCATCTATGCACTTGTGTAATATCCTACATCGGTTCAAACGATTAAAGTTTTAAACACAGAAAGTGTCTTTCTGTATAACCACATTTGCACTAAAAGAAAACTTAATTTTAAGTAAATTATTTTTCTCCACAAGGCTATTAACTATTCAACATGAATAGGTGCTGAGGTGTGTGTTAACTAACATGGTGAGCCCTAATCGTTCCAAACATGACAGAAGCCTGGAGTTGCTACCGTTAGATCTTTGTTGGAGTGTTTAAGAGAAGAGTGGATGCCCCCCTGTGTTTGTCAACAAAAACTAAAAGATGCACCATATTAATGTAACCATCTTAAATCATGGTTATCAGCTTGGTTTTCTTTCACGTACAGAGTACAGGTGTCTGATTTGACTGGTATAAGCAATTAAAATTACTGTGCACTGTAAAACTATGGGTCAAGGTCATAACACTAGCTCAATGTCATGGTTTAATGTGTGTAGTTTCCATCTTAGCTATTTATTCAATCTATAGAGCAATGACATGCCAGGTGGTGGTGAACCCTCCAGCCAGAGTGCAGATTAAATAGCAATAGCAAAACCTGAACTTAATTGGGGATTTAATTGTGTCTTAAGTGCATCTACTTATACATCTACATGTAAAAGTCACCGCAAACGTCTTGTTTCTGAGGCAAAAATCAAATGATATGAAAAGCCCATTGTGCAGCGGTTACGGCTCTTCCTGGCTTCTTTAATGGGTAATGACAAAGAACACTTTGTAATGGCAGAGTGACGTACCTTTTTAAATGACTCTTCTAAGCGCTCCAAAGACACAGAATGCTTTTTCGGAGTGCTGCTTTTGACCTGCCGCTCCTTCACCACTTTGTGAAGCAATTCTGCAGAAGGGAACAAAGCTCGTTATTGTGACATGCAGTGTCAAAGCCGGGTTGCTGAATCAATAGAGTGATAAAAAGTGGCTACATTAAATCAATTAGCATTAGCAAGGTCTAATTTCCTTTCTAAGGTCCATTTTCCTATTTTTGTCCATCAATTCCAGCAAGAACACAGTATTAGGGGATTTAAATTTTCTATGTAAAAAATCTATAAAACATTGTTATGCTTTATTCAGTGGACAATGAGGTATTTTATTTAGTAGTCCGCAAGGAAATGGAAAAAGCATAGCGTTCAAAAGCACACAATGTTGCATGCAATGTGCAACCTCTCTCCTGGGACCTTAAACAAACCAGGAAGAAGTGCTTTGGTCCCCGAAGAGCACACAGCCCCCAGGCCGCACTGCTTTGTAGTCCACTGTGTTTCCCCAGTGGGCCAATAATCTCTGCAGACTAAACTGTGCTTTCTTCCAAGAACTTCAATACTGGCCCCAGCAAATTTGAGGTTTTATCGTTACAACATGTAGCATGCAGGAGTTTAAATGCTTCGGGAATTAATGTGCAGACAAAGACTACAGACTGGACACAAATCTGATGGGGGACAGATAGTCTCAAGGCAAAAATACCAAGCAGTGAAAACAGATTAAAATCCAACGTAATTGTTCTTCATTAAATTAGTAGTTTGTGACTGATGTGACACTTGTAATTGGATCGGAAGGCCCACTACAGTACAACAGCAGGCAAAACAATGTAATTGTAATATGTTAAAGAAGAAATATTACATTATTTTTGGCCATTAAAAATCATAATGAGACTATTCACTTTTAGGTTTTGGAATGTGACATCATATCTTTCGTAGAAAAAATAGGAAATACAATGCTACCGGCCTGCCCAATTCAGTTACATGTTTGCCCCAGAAGATACTGATATTAGCATATAGATCTAAAAACAATTTCAGGTCTGTGACTCATGCATGTTGTAACATGGTTAAAAGCTTAAAATTTGCTTGCATATGTCTCCTTCAAAAGATGGTTTTGTCTTTGTTATTATATATAATATTTCTGACCAACATAATGTTTGTGATGCAAATTTTGGTTTCCTGTACGCTTATAAAAAGTCTTTGAATTTAGAGTAAAAATAACGTCACGAAAGTTACATTTGAAAATGTCTAACCTACAAAAAATGAGTAGAAAGGTTTAAAGATAAATATAAGATTTTGCTACAAAACTGTTAAAATGTGTGTCTTTTCTCACAGAAAACCAGACCAGAGTTGTGCAATACATTTTGAAAGTTTATATAAATGATAAAAAGTATGTGATATCTCAATTGGAAAATAATGCTTATATCAACAACAAGATGAAAGATAATTGTTCAAATGACAAAATATCAAAATAAACACAAATCAAGACATTTTAATCCAAGCAATTTATCGATTGAGTTTAGTCTCTTTCAGTTTGCTAACAATTTAGTAATTGCAGTCATTACCATTTTGATTGTGATTAATCGCCATACACTTCCAAGTATGAGTTATTAACCACTGAAACTAATAAAGTTTGAAGATTGTTCCAAATTCCTTAAAAAAATAAATAATAAAAATGACGGTGTTAGTTTTTTTAAGGACTTTGGAAAGACTCATTACATCCAAAGTAAAATATTTTGAGAATGGACTGTTAGCCATCATCTCCAACATTATAACAACCATGAGATTGGCATATGTCACTTTGCCTGTATCATGAATTGGTTTCACAATTAAAGTTGAATTACAGACATGAATTACATCATACAAATACATACATATACAGTAGTCCCAGCATTCCTGTAGAACACACAGAGGGCTAGAAACCCTGCGTCAGGTGAAAAATGCATTGTGAGACCACAAAAAAGAAGGTCATATATAACTTGTCATTTGAGGTGAGTCGATCCCTAGTACAAAAAAGATGCAGCGGACTCAGAGAGGAGCACTGTTGCCAGGAGCTGCTTTGCATTTGACACTTTGCCCAGGGAAGTTTGTTACTGTGAATTAGCCTGCTCTTTTGTCTCCTCCAGCATGTCACATCCAATCAGACAGAGCACCAGAGAGGACACGAGGGCTGCCGGGATAGCTGGGTACATAACCAGGTTGTTAGACAATTAGCTTGTTCTCTGCACCACTGGCTGGGGAGTTGGCACCTCAGCACTCTACCTTGATAAAAAGCCCGCGTGGTCCCGAGTCACCCACAGTCAGAGGAGGAGGTCCTGCGTATAGCGGCATACATTGTAGGGTCCCTCCTGCTTCTCCTCGTGGGTACCAGCTCCTTTCATCTGCTGCCTCTGGTTAGTCTAATCTTAGTGGAGGAGCTTCAAGTCGCAGCTGCATGTTTGATCGGGTCATTTAAGTTCTTTGAAAGCGCATTTTTGGGCTGAGGTTTCATTCATCCAAGTTTACTTAAATGTATATCGTCCCTTTCAGTTTTGTAATTGTTTTCTAGTGGTTGGAAAAATGCAAAGAACTGTCCTGGAATGACTGCTTTATAGTGGTTGGGCCAAGCACAATCCGTAAAGTACACATTTTTTTCATCCTGAGCAAGGTTAAATAGATGCAATATCTAGGGAGTCCCCTTCAAAATAACCACAATTCTATTTGGACTTTAACATATTAGTCAAATTTACAGGTATACATTTATGAGTATTCTTCTTTCAGACAAAGAATGGGAGAAATTCAGGTGACACACTTCTAGTCTGCGTGGGCTTCCTCCAGACTCTCTGGTTTCCCCCACTACCTAAAACATGCACCAGTATGAATGAGTGAGTGAGTGATATTGGTGGTGGTAGAGGCCGATAGAATACCCGTCATCACAGAGTCACTCCATTCAAAGCGTGCACTGAAATTGCTCTTTTCGCTCCATTTCAGTGTACGCTTTGAGTCTTCAACAGACTGTAGAATACTTTACAAGTGTAAGTCATTACTAATGCATAATGACAAAAGTTCTATATAGCAGTGTTTCTCAACTTGTACATAACTGCGACCCATCTGATGAGAGACTAATGTAGTCGTGACCACAAAGTATTCAGCTATTTTTCAATATTTCAATTAATTGCATATTGTGATTGATATATAATAAATAAGGATACCAGGAAGAAGTGGTTATCTCTCAGTTTTAATGTTTTCAAACTAAACATGACACACGCAGATTGGTTCACGTTGCTGCTCGTCACTCTTGGGTTGAATTCATCCTTGGATCTTTTCTGTGAATATGGGTTTAACTTTAAACACTCAAATGAAGCTCAGACTGTTCCATATCACACTATTTGTAGAGGGGGAAATCTGAGCGGACACATGAGAGAGGGGCAGAGGGGCAGACGGGGAGAGGAAAAAGACGCTTACAGACCAGATCGCGGCTGTTGTCACTGGATTGCGAAGTCTGTGATGTGGGTTTCTGACACGAACATGACGAGGAGGGCTGTGCTGTGGTACGCAGAACTCACAACAGAAAGAAATGCAAATGAAGTGACAAAACAAGCACGATTCATGTATGACCATAAAGGATTACTCAGATGAAATCAAATACAAATTTGACTAAGCTTACAAAAAACTCATTGAACTACCTTTTTCTTTTTAAGATGTATATAAAATGGGAAAAGCAATTCCTATTTTGAGGAGCTGTCGATAGGACGCAATCCACTATTTTAATTAGTGCCACACAAATCGCTCAGACTCTCACATCGTCAACAGACACAATCACCTCGTGTGGAGCAAATTAAAGTGATCCAGGACAGATCTGTTATTGAACTGGTTAATTAAGGACCCTGCTGTATTGGTGGTTAGTGTTTGACAAAGGCAGATTGGATTCAGTGTGAAGTGCTTTTGAACATTAGGAGGGATGTATGCAGACAGGACCGACACCGCTTGATCTCCTAATCAATTTGCAAGTTGATCAAGCCTTAATTGAGTTGTCCTCTTTATTCCACTGGGGGTCATCTTATTAATTCTGCTCACAAGTGCACTCAGAGCAGAGGAGAGGAAAAGCTGATTGCCGCGATAGGCACAGATTTTCACTTTGACCCCTTTCAATGCACTTTGTTAGCATGATACCCATTATTATTAATGCATACCAATGATTCTTTGGGACAGAAGGGGAAGAATCCACACATTGAATAAACTGTTTAAACTGAAATAATTATCTGGTAGGGATCGTGACAGTTGTTATGGTCAGCTCCCGGCACAAGATATTCTAATCATTTAGGTCGATACATGCGTCTTGTTTCCCAGCGTCTGAAACTGCTTCCCATCACTGTTTGAAACATTAGCACAAAGGGCCTCTTGTTCAGCGATAGCCTTGGTCACCATCTGCAGGTCCATTATCTCAAATGTACTCACAGCGTGTTCCTTCTTATCAAATTCGAAGGTCCTTTCGGTGCGCTTAATGTATCTCCCAAACTTTCCCGTCTGCAGCCGCGTATGACTCATCTCTCTTGTGACGAATGCTCATTGTTCTGTCTGACACACCTCCAGTATAAGATCATAGACACGCTTGTTGGGCAAGGAGACAGACACGGCATCGGTCCAGGTCCCGTTTCTGTCTGGTTCCTTTCTGCGCAGAAATGTCATTTTTGTACTCATCACTTCTGTGAATAAACTGCACAAAAGGACAAGTTTGTTTCCTCTCGGAATTATTTCATTTGAAGCATCAGAATTCCCATAACAATTTGGTGTCAGAAGTGGCTCCGGAGGCTGACCGTTGGAACGCACAGGTCCGGGTTGGGGGCTGATCACCCGGGATTCGAAAACCAATCTCGTCGCTTTCCCACATCTCTGGACGGGCGGACTGACCGGACGTGCTGAGTTTCAACCGTCGCCTCTCGGGATTTTCACACGAAAACAAACGGTAACTTGTTTAATATTTGACTTTCTATGCTTCAGTGGTGAATCCGAGAGGCACTTGTGGGTGCAGTGCATGTTTGGCTGCCAGCTGGTGACGGTGCTGATCATTCTAATCCAGGCTGTTGGAAATAAATCCTAAGTTAGAGTCTTAGGCTGAAGTTCGAGTCTTCAGTTGTGACACGGTTAGAGTCCTGTCTAAAAATCTAAGTTCAAGTCTTAGTCGGGGGTTCAAGTCCCTTGTTGTGACACGGTTAGAGTCCTGTCAACAAATCTAAGTTTAGTCTTAGTCGGGGGGTTCGAGTCCCTTCGTTGTGAAAACAGGTTCGAGTCCTGTCAAAAAATCTAAGTTTAGTCTTAGTCGGGGGGTTCAAGTCCCTTTCGTTGTAGTACAGGTTCGAGTCCTGTTTTGTGCAAAGGTTCAAGTCCTGATTGCTGATAAGGGCAGAGTTCGAGTCTCTGTTTTTATATCTGAGTTCAAGTCTCAGATTCCAGCCATGTGGCTTAGAAGAAAAGGCACAGAGTCACCAGTTTGGAGCTCTCCATGCATGACTTTTATGAGTAAGAAACATGGTGATGATTTTAGGACATGCGTTGAAATGTGGGTGGCTGAATTAGGTTTTCCCAAAAATGGGTCCTTCAGCTTGAACTAATTGAACAAGATTAAATCGCAATTGGATGCTAGAGAAACTGTGTTGAAAAAAGGGAGAACTGTACGTGTGAAAGATTTGAATTGTCTGGATGAGAACAGACGGTGGTTGAATGTGTGGATGGCAGAGGCAAAGCTTAGGGACAGCAAACAGAAAAAGTCTGACTCTATAGAATGTGTAGGATCTGCGACTGACTCTTCTCCATCTGCTTTTTTTTCGAGCATACCACCGATCCCACGTCAATACGACCGTAGGAACTCCAGAGATGATTGGAACCCGCTGTACCCCGCTCTCTCACCCCCCCGGTATCAAGCAGCAGCAGCGGCACCTGCAGCACCAGCAGCAGCAGCAGCAGCAGCAGCAGCGTCAGCTGCCCTCCCACCGCTGCTCCTCTTGCCTGCCCCAGAGGCATCTGCATCAGCCCCTCCCCTCCTGTCTGGAGCAGGACACAGAGAAACTGCTCCTTCTCCAATCTCTCCAACCCACTCTGTGACACATGGTCTGGGCAAAATCACTCTAAATGACAATGGCATGACGCTGAGAGATGGAAAGACTTTACAAGCACCTATGATCAGAAATCCTCAGATACGCAAAGCATGCTGAAATAAAGAACACTGAGAAGAACGCTGTGAAAGCTGGCGCGCAGGAGACGGCCCAGCATCAGGCCAATCTCACATTGATCAAAATGACGGGCAGACAATTCCGTCGTGGAGGTCGTGGAGGTAGAGGACGGAGAAGAGGTGGCAACGGACATTTCGAGAACGATCGTGACCATGACGACCAGGACAAATGTTTCAACTGTGGTGAAATTGGACATTGGAATCGTGACTGTCCCCAGCCACGCCGAGATGCGAGACGCTGGAGTGGACGTGGACGGGGTGCGAGACCGGAGGACCAGCAGAGATTTTCTTCAGATTGATGTCTAGTTGACGTGGGATCTGACACAGCACCTGTACAGATGAGTAATGCACACACTCTTACACACAACACACTAACTGCTAACTGCAATGAAGACGCGCTTGCCACTGATTCACTGCTTGGCTTAATTGAGGATAGAATTAGGGAGTTAGAGGACGGTGGCAGGCCCAACACAGGGACCTACTTGGCTTATGAAAATGAAGCTTACAGGAAAATGCCAACTATTGTTTGTGAAATTGAGGGTAAACCGATCACTTTTTTAGTAGACTCTGGTGCAACCCACAGTGTGATTCAGACAAAGGAGCTCTCAATCAAATTAAGTGGCAGAAGTGTTTTTTCCACAAGTGCGAGTGGACAAACGGTACCGGAATCTTTCTCTGTTCCGATCAAATGCACTTGGGCAAACGAGCGTAACCCAGCAACAGCAAAACATTCATTTTTGATGTCTGACCTTTGTCCTGTAAACTTGTTAGGCCGTGATTTAATGATAAAATGGGAAGTTGTGATCACATCGACAGCAGAAGGCCTTAAAATAGACAGAGGTGCGTGCGCGACTAATTTTGTCAAAGTAAACACAAACTGTCCTATGTCTGTATATCAGTGGTGGTTTCATACTGCCAGCGCGAGTCATTTAATGGGGGTGGTTTCTCCATTTCTTAATCCAAAATCTGATATATTGAAAGCTGAGGACCTGCATTGTGTGTGTCATTTACACCATAGCCCTGATTATGAATTTGAAGAAACGTTTAAACTGGGCTCAAATGACTGCTTGATTATTGCTGACGTGTACTTTGATCATTTCAAGTGTGCTGTTTCAGTAGAGTTAAGCCAGTCACAAAAACAATGCTATCGTCTTGAAAATTCAAGTCCTCATA